ATTAGGCAACAATAATATTCAGAAGAAGCAATGATATGTAAATTATGAAACAAAATAGTCATGTAAATAACAAAATTTTTTAAAGAACATTTAACAATATTCAAAAGAAGGATAACATATGTTATTTTTAACAAAATATTCAAAACAATCCAATGAAAGTTACAATGTTCATAATATATAACTATGAAGAAGAATGATTAATTGATAGCAAGGAATCTTCTGATCCACGGTAGTCTTCGATCAGGATCAAGACTGAGAAAAAAAGCTACTTTATTAGGATGATCACTGAGCTTAAACGAAACAAGGTCCATTTCATCATTTTCCAAACCATCAATCTCTTTTAATGCACGTTCAAGCTTGTGAAACATATCCATATCACGATCATATTGAAGACCATCGGACAAATTCTTACCAACCTCTGATATTGTATTACTTATTAGCTTCGCAGCATTAAGCATATTCTCAGCACATATCTCAATAGCTTCATCATGGCTTCTCTTTCTCTTACTTGAATTACTTCTTTTCCTACCATCATTTTGTGGCTCAGTTTGTGTACTCGTTAAATCAATATCATCCAAACCAACAAATGCACTATCTTCCGTGTCAGCTCTTATATCATTCTGTTCTTCAGCTTGTATTTCTTCAACTACATCATCTGCTATCTGTGCATCTTTTCCAGTTGCTGATGGATGGAATTGTTTGATTGGTGCTGATGATGAAAAGAATCGGGGAAGGAATCGTAGATGAGGGAGAGAACGCAGAGAACGATAAAGGTTAAAATTGAAAAAAAAAATTCTATTCCTGAGGGCTCAGGAATAAGTTAATACTAGGGGGGCCTGGTAATAGCTATTACCTTATTTGAGGTAATAGGCTATTACTAGGAATACTAAGCCTGGTAATAGACATGGTTACCAAACACAGGAATAGGCCTGTTATTGGGAATGCTATGTCATTCCCGGCCTATTCCGTGAACCAAACGGGCCGTTACAGAATTAGGACTCCTACAGTATTAAGAATCCTATCAATATAAAGCCAAAATATTGTCCACATAAGGTTTTCCAACACTCCCCCTTGGACATTATTTCGCCATAATCATGCCTCGTTAAAAACTTGCGTTGGAAAAACCCTGTGGAAAAAACCTAGACAAGAAAAGAGTACAATAGAAAAATATGTACATGCCTCATTAAAAACTTCACTAGGAAAACTGCGTGGGAAAAACCTAGTTGAAGAAAAGAGTACATGGTATATGTAAAACCTAGTTCAGGGCATAATCGGCATAATCTTCAGGATTTTGGGGTTTGTTTACTTCTCCCCATTTACATTACTATATCTTACTCATGCCTCGTTAAAAACCTCAATATAAAAACCAGTGGGAAAATTAGTTGAGGAAAAGAGTGCATGATGTATTTGTATTCTTGTTTTAGATTAGCTGCCTCATTAAAACCCTTAGATTTAAGGAAAAACCCCGTGGGGAAAAACTTAACTAAGGAAAAGAGTACAGTTGTTAGTCGCTAAAACCCAATCTTCAAGATTGTAAAATGTTACTCCCCCTCAAGAAGACAATCTTCAAATCCACACATAAAATATTTATCCAAAATTGTAGAAATGGATTTAGTCAAATCTTCTGGATTGTCACTAGAGTGAATATATTGCACAATAATTTTGTAACTCTTTTAGAGCTCGTATTGGTTGAATTTTGACGCTATATATGCTTTGTCAAATATTCTTTAACATACTCATATATCATTTGTGCAACTCAAGTGTTATTGTTCTCATTTGAGACATTGGGGGTAATTCATTGTTTAACCAGTTTGGAGTTTTAGCATCACGAGGATCAAACCTATATAATAGCCAATACCCAAACAGCCTATCAAAACCATACATTTGTTTCTCATATGAATACCAAACTCTTTTGTAACTCGGAGAATATATTAAACATTTAAACATTATTCCAATATTTCATTGAAGAAGGGGCCCTAGATGTTGCTAGAAATTTCATCGCGAATATCATGCATGTTGCGATTATGGAACTTCTGGTTCTAAAAAGGTGCTCCAACAACAAATGAAGTAAAGGACTGTTAAGGTATCCTTACCGAGTCTAAACGGTTCCTTATCTATTTAATTATTAGGCAACCTATAGTTTGACAAAACCATGATACTTAACCATATAGACATGTGAAAAATAGGCTAAATGGTGTATTAAATTCATTCAAAGGAAAAACTTGATCTTCAAGTCGAGATAATACTTAGCTTCCACAAGTTTTGTATTTCAAAAACTCCGTCTTTAGATATGGGCTGACATCATCAAGTTCTTTATATATTTCATTGATGTTTCCACCATCAATAAACTACTATAAGTTCATTATCAACCCTTTATCAAGAACACAATGGTACATATTATTCCTTCTTAATGAGGATAATAACTCCATTCACAACTCTTTAAAGAGTAAATAATGGCACATAAATTCTCATTTCGGGAATTATAAATCCATCAGGGACTTCTCGAGATAAATTTAACGACATATGTAAATTTATTATTCTGCCAATAATATTATGTAGCGGAACTTAATGCCATTTACCGTGGGAGAGTATATTTGATTAAAATCAATCCAGGGTCTTTGCGTGAACCCATAGGCCACAAACTCGCTTCATATCTTATCACCTCGTTATTCTTGTTTTCCTTCCACACCATTTGTAACCTACAGGGTTAATACCTCAATGGTGTACGAAAGTAATATATTAGCGAGTTGAGCTGTATATGCCTTTTTTTAATTGCTCTCTTTATACGTTAATCAATATAGGCGCTTCTGACACCTAGTTCTGGATCCAGATTGTCATATAATATGAGCAATTTGAAGGCAATTGTGTTGTCGACAACTTATAAATTTTTTGAAGCATTTCTCCCATATTTATAATTGTTCATTGCAATATTTAAGTCAACCAGATTCTAGACATTTCTCATAACTATTCAAATCACATCTGGTTATCCCGCATCCCTAGTATTATGTTTGTTTGGTGCACCATTGAATTGACTAGGGTTTCTCGTCATCTGGACGAGCGTCTCTGGGACTAAATTATTCAAGCTTTTCCAAGACTGACAATATTTATTTACTAGATCTAGTATTATGATTCTTATCTCTTTTCACCGATACATCTCCTACACTTTTGGCGTCAAGGAGTATCGATAGATATATTAGGTCCAAGTTGGGAAAAGTACATGGGACCTAGTCACTCTTTTATGATCGGTATGATCAATAGATGTATTTGACAGATTATTTGCTAATCGCTAACAGAGATTATTTTCAGAACTTCCAGTTCAGTCTAACTTGTACGTGGATTTCTTAACTAATGAAGATCTTTCCATTGCATGTAACTTCTCGGCACTTCATTAAGTTTGGGCCCATCTCCCCCTAATGTCGTGAAATGATCTTCATGATGCATGTATGTAGTCAACGTATCTATTGATTCGGCAAATTATTGTATGGACCATGGTCCACACAATGTTATGTGGACCATAATAAAAAGTACATTTTAATATACTAAATATACATTATTTTTGTACTGAATGTACATTATACAATATAATGTGCACTCATAATAAAAATAATGTACATCCCCTGAATATAATGTATATTATTTTTTTACTGAATGTACATTATTTTTGTACTGAATATACATTATTTTACAGTAGACAAAATATGGTCCAGACAACTAGTGTGGACCATGGTTCACACAAAAATGATTGTATTGATCCCCTATAATGGGCTCTAGGTATTTAAACAATAGACGGAGGTTTATAGCCCATAGAGATACACGTGAGGTGGTGATACAATAAAAGGACTACATACTAAGACTAGAAACGCAGAACGATGGTGATGATGGACCATTATGGATCAAAGACATTTTATTAATCAAATAAATAGCAGTCTCAACACGTGATGATGGACCATTATGGATATTTTTTTTGAATATTACTAACTCTGTTACAATGTAATATCTGTCTATACATACTTTCACATCCTGTGACCTCCCGTTTGGGAGAATCATCATATTTATAGGTGCCATTGAGCTACAAGTGGTTGATTATTTATATAGAAAAACATTAAACATTGATTATTTATACAGAAAAACATAAAACATAAAACTATTAATTACGTTTAGAGTATAGTATCAGATATGACATGTGGTTGATGTTCAACTTTGATTAGTTAAATTGCTAGGAATAGCTCATCAGGTGTATAAATAAAGACAAATAGATTAGGTTAATCACCCATTAATTAATTGGTTGTTGTAGACTAATGCAAGTTGGATATTAAGTGATCGTTTACTAACTTGGAAAAATGGAGGATTTTTTTTGAAAAAATAGAGAAAATGAGAATGGAGGATTTTTTAGGGGGTTATCATGAATTGTAAGATGGATCAAGGGAAGAAAAGAAAATACTGTTTCATTTATTTCTGTTATCACTCTTTTAGCTTCCATGTCATACAGCATTTATATGAGAAAGAAGAAGAATAGCAGTTTGGGCAGTAAACCAATTAACTGAAAATAACTGCCTCTAACTACCTAACAGCTGTTGACTATCCTTGACCAGTAGTAGGCTTGTCCTCTAATACCCCCCGCAAGCTGGAGTGTACATGGAATGAAGCCCCAACTTGGAAACAAACTTTTGAAATGACAGAGGTTGCAATGGCTTGGTTAGGATGTCAGTAGTCTGGTTTTCAGTGGAAATATGCAATAACCTTATGATGCCTTTTTGTAGCTTCTCCCTTATAAGATGACAATCAATCTCTATATGTTTTGTTCGTTCGTGAAACACTGGGTTTTCAGCAATAGCTATTGCTGATTTACTGTCAGAATATAACACAGCAGGCCCCTCCATTTTTACTTCCAATGTTTCAAGAAGATAGATCAACCATTAGATCTCACAGGCAGCAAGAGCCATGGCCCTGTATTCTGCTTCTGAAGATGATCTGGATATTGTTCCTTGTTTCTTGGATTTCTAGGAGATTAAAGCCTCTCCTAGGAACATACAAAAACGTGTTACTGATCTTCTAGTATCAATGCAGGCAGCCCAGTCTGAGTATGCAAATCCTCTTAACTTGAGACTTGAGTCTGCTGGAAAGAATAAGCCTTGGCCTGGGGAGTTTTTCACATATCTCAAAATTCTGTGAGCTGCTTGGAGATGATCAGTAGTAGGCTTGTCTAGGAATTGGGATAGTTGTTGAACTTCAAAGCATATATCTAGTCTTGTTATGGTCAGGTATAATAACTTGCCAATCAACCTTCTATACTGAGAGTTATCTTCTAATGGTGCCCCACTGTCTTGGCTCAACTTTGCTATTTGTATCATAGGAGTTCTCACAGGTTTACTACTCAGAAAACCTGTGTCTTTAAGAAGGTCCAGGGCATACTTTCTTTGATTAACAGCAATTCCTTTTTGAGTTCTAGCAACTTCAAGCACAAGGAAGAGCCTCAGATTGCCTAGATCCTTGATCTGAAAAGTATAATGGAGATGGTCTTTGATTTGTTAAATTTGATCTTTGTCACTGCTTGCCAATATGACATCATCAACATATACCAATAATGCAACAAAAATATATACTTCCTTATGGAGATCACCATGGAGGAATACATTGTTTACATCCAATTGGTGTAATTGCCAACCCTTTGCAGCTGCCACAGCAATTAGAGTTCTTATGGATGTAATCTTAGCTACTGGACTACAGGTGTCAACATAGTCCATTCCACATGTTTGAGTGTATCGTTTTGCTACCAACCTGGCCTTACACCTTTCCATAGTCCCATCTGACTTATGCTTGACCTTGTACACCCATCTACAGCCTATTGCTTGTTTGGAGGGTGGAAGGGTTGTTAGTTCCCAGGTTTTGTTGGCTTGGAGGGCATCTATTTCAGCGTGCATAGCTAATTTCCAGCAGTCCTGTAGAATGGCTTCATTGTAGGATTTTGGTTCTGTTATGGTCAATATATTTAGAGCAAAGGCTTTGAAATTGGGTGAGAGTTTGTCATAGGACAGAACAACAAACAAGATATGAGGAGATGTTATTTTGTTAGGCAGTTGATAGTCATATAGTCCAGGAGATATGCTGGTCTGATCACATGCCTAGTGGATCTCCTTACTTGTTGTTGCTGTGAGTGCATTTGATTGTCAGTAATAAAGGGTTCATTCTGGGCTGGCAATATGGCAATGGAGTTATGATCTGAGGGTTCATTTTGGGCTGGCAGTATGGCAATGGAGTTATTATCTGAGGGTTCATTTTGGGCTTGCAGTATGGAAATGGAGCTATTATCTGAGGGGGTACTGAGCTGTGGATATTCAGTTGGATTAGGTGGAGTGGGATTAGCCCTTGAAATCATGTGTGCCAAGGGTTCATCAGCTAAATGTACATTAGTAGGTAAGATCAGAGATGATGTGGGTACCTGAGTATCTGATTTGTGCTGCAAGGCATAAGGGAAGATCCTCTCATAAAACACCACATCTCTGGAGACAAACACCTCTCTAGTCTGCAAATCATACAGCTTGTATCCTATTGTTCCATTAGGATATCCTAGAAAATAACTGCCTCTAACTACCTAACAGCTGTTGACTATCCTTGACCAGTAGTAGGCTTGTCCTCTAATAGGGGTTAGTGGTGGGATTAATTAATTTGGTAATGGCATCTATCTCACCAAAGCAGCTGGGGGATTAACTTGGTATATATATATATATATATATATATATATATATATATATATATATATATATATATATTTATTTGCAGCAAAAAGCATGTTGAATCATCCCCACAATTAAGCAAATCGATCTTTAATTTGTTCAATCTATGTTTTGGCATAGTTACGTTATGGTTGGTGCTATTGTTGATTTTATAGTTGGAAAGCTGAAGGAACAAGCTTTCCAAGAAGTAATATTCCAGTGGAGAATCAAAGCTGAGGTTGAAAAAATCACTGCTCGGCTAGCCAACATGAAAGGCTACGTTGAGGATTCAGGTAAGGGGAAACAAGACACCAAGGTAACATAGAGCTGGGTGACACAACTGTGGGATATCACACTTGAAATTGAGGACTTGGTGGAGGAGTTGATGTTGGATTCCAAGCTTCTGGAACTCAATACTCCTCCCTGCAATTTTTGTCAAGTCAACTCCCTCTTTGCCAACGGGTAGAGCTATGCCAAGAGGGTGAAGATACGGTTTTGCATCCATCAGCAGTTAAAAGCCATTGATGAGAAGCTACTTGCTCTAGAAACAGACAAATCAAAGTACGCTTTAAAACTGAACACAAATCACAGAAGAAATGAGTTACTGATGGGTAGTGGGAGTGGATATATGGAGGGGATAGAAAGTGCCTATTTTTAGATTTTTTGTGGCCCTATTCGGGTAAATAAATGGTAAGAATAAGAAGAAGAACAATTATAATAATAATAGTGTGTGGAAACTCGCAATGCAAAAGGATTTAAAAAATAAGGAGATATCCAAAGCTGAAGCAACATGCATGTTTCAAAACTTAGACCTCCAAGTTAAAATATAACAAACACATGTTCCTGCCATTTATTCAGGAAACCTTTTAAATTTAATTGAAAACTTTTAATTTTATTTCTAAACAAACTAGGTAAATATGAAATATTGGACCTCTAAAATTTGGTGCCCCTCTAAAATTTGGGACCATGTGGGGTAGCCAGCTTGCACAGCCCAAAATCCGGCCCTGCCGGATAGAAGTATTGGGGATCGACATGGAAGTCCCCCGGATAGCAAAACTGATTGAAAAGTGTAGTGGTCAAGTGAAGTTGATCACGATTTGGGGAGCTGGAGGTTGTGGGAAAACTACTTTGGCGAAGCAATTTCATGAAAGAGAGATGAAGGATCGAACCATTGATTATTGTTGGTGGGTTGATGTGAACCACTCCTCAGATATTGAATTTGTTCCGATGACAACAATCAATGGGTTGTACATAAGTGTTGGAACAGAGATGCCGTCTAAACGGGAGAAAGCAGATGGAAATTCTCTCCACCAACACATTTGCAACTACTTGCATTGAAGGGGAAGAGGTATGTTGTAATTTTTGATGATGTTTGGGATCATACTCTCTTGGCTAAAATAAAACTTCCAGGCGATGGTGCATCTTCAATTATCGTCACTAGCCGTTATAAAAGTATAGCCAATGGGTCTTTTCTTGAGGCTTCACCTCATTATGTTGAGGTGAAGCCATTAGTATTTGATTTGGCATGTAGCCTTTTCTGCAAATTGGCTTTTTATTCCAGCAGCTGGCCTAATGGGCAGTGGGCATGAAGAACCCAGAAAAGCATTGGATAAGAAATGTTAAGGATATTTGTGACTGACATCTTTTGTATATGTTTAGTTCTAGTTGCATTCCTGTTATGTAGCCGTGTTAGAGTGGTTGTTACAACAACCTGCTAACTACCTGCTATCTTCTCTCCCTTGTATGCTATTTAAAGCTAATTGTTTGCATCAATAATATCAGTTAAGTTCATAATCTATTATGGTATCAAGAGCCTAATTTCTCCTACGAAGTTTTTTTTCTCCTTCCCCTTCCAAATGCCTTCCGCTACTACAACCACAAATACAATAATCCAATTAAATGCCCCAACGCACTTCCCAATTAAACTCACGACCGTGAATTTCCCAGTGTGGTGACGCCAAATTTATGCCACACTTGTTGGGTTTAATCTCTTTGGCTATGTTGATGGTACAACCAAGGAACCAACTAAATTCGTTGATCCCGCTCAAACTTCTGTCAACCCAGACCATTTAGCTTTGGTATCGTCAAGACCAAGTTATTGTCAGTGCTCCCATTTAGCTTGGTATCGTCAAGACCAAGTTATTGTCAGTGCTCTACTTGGGAGCTATACTAACACCATACAACCCCTTATCTCCTCGACTACGACAGCCCATGATGCGTGGCAACGTCTTGTTGCTAGTTACGCTAGTGCCTCACGAGAACGTATCATATCCCTCAAGGCCAAGCTCACGAGGAATCCGCGAGGGTCTCGGTCCGTCACCTCTTATCTCAATGACATGCGAGCCATAGCTGATGATTTAGCGTTGGCTCGGTGTCCCGTATCTAACGAAGATCTAACCGTCTTTGTATTGGCTATTGGCATTCGTGAGAAGCCTCTTTCTTTTGGCGAGTTGGCAGATGTGCTGATTGACCATGAACGCGAATTGAAAGACGCAGATGCTCAGGTTTACCTGTTGCAATTCTTGTAATGGCTCGGTTGATGTCCACAAGAGGTGATGCTCCATCAAAATGGAGGAATGCTCTCAAAAGCCTTGACTACTACTCACAAGAATTTGAATCTGAAGCAGGTGGCAGTCTAGCATCTCTCAATAGAGCCTTGTTGAGTTATTATGAACTGCCGACTTACCTCAAGTCATGTTTCTTATATTGTGAAATGTTCCCCAAAACATATGGCATTTTTGCCCAAAGGTTGATACGCATGTGCATTGCGGAGGGGTTTATTATCAAGGATGACCCCCATAGTGGCAGTGACAGAACACTAGAGCACATAGCAAGGGATTACTTCCTTCAGCTCAAAAATAGAAGTTTGCTTCAGATCATTCCCGATGAGTACAATGGTAAAGAGTGGGGAAGAATCGAAATGCACGACCTTTACCGTGTTGTGGCGTGTGAGGCGATTAGAAGGGAAATGTTTGCTGAAATCATCAAATTGGAGCAAAGTAGCTGCAGGAAACTTGAGTGGAAGCAAAGGTTTAGTTTGATCATCCTGGATGAGGAGCAAAAGGTTCAGCTTGACAATTGCTACGAAAATATGAAGAAGCTACATACACTCATCATCAACCACTGTGAAAGGATTATTGCTGTGAATTCATTCCCTCAGATGCTCCAAAACATGAAGTTACTCAGAGTTTTTGTGTTGGAATGGTTACCTGATGGTATGGTGGAACTGCCCAATGAGGTTGGGGATCTAATTCATCTTAGCTACTTAAGTCTGTCTGGTCATAACGTGACACATCTTCCTGATTCATTGGGAAGATTGCACAATCTACAGACATTGGATTTAAAATCCACTTTGATAAATAGTTTGCCTAAATGCGTGTCAGAGCTTATGCAGCTAAGACATCTCTTTGGAGGTGATGAATTACAGGTGTCAGATATTGTATTCACATTTTCTCAGCTTCAAACATTATCTGGCATACTAATTAATACCATCCAAGCAAGAGATTAGTAAACATCCCACAACTCACTAAGTTGAATATTTTTTTCAAGGAAGGAGATGAATGCTAAAGAGCAATTTGTGATTCCATCAAACAAATAAGAAATCTTCATTCTCTATTTATTAGATCCATAAGTGATGAATTACCAGAATTTATAAATTTCTCGATATCACCTTCTCTCAAGAAGCTCAAACTCTTTGGATTTGGGAAATTGGTAAATTTTATTAGCACTCCTAACTATCTTCGCGTAATTGATATATTTATGTGTGATGTAAATGAGGTTTTCTTCAATAGTTTGGAAAAACTGTCAAGCTTGTTGAAACTCTACATTTACAGTTATAGTGGAGACCAGTTATTGTGCAGTGAAGGGAGCTTTCCAAAACTCATGATGCTAACGATAGTGTGCAGGAAGCTTACCAAGTGGGAAATGTTGGAAAAAAAAATAGCATAAATTGGCATAAAATGACATTTTAAGTGGGTATTTTGTGGTACAATTATCAGTGGGATCCACAAATCTGGTAAAGGCTCTTTCTTACGCGTAGGGGGTGCAAATCAAATCCCTGTTCTAAGAGCTTTGATCTTGTTCATCCTTAAGTTTGCTCCTAGCACTTGTGGAAGGTAGCAAATAAGGTTTTAAGGAAAAGAACAATTCGTTGAACTCGTGCTAACCTCTAACCAAATCATCAACCTTTTCCTTCCCATTTATTTGCCTTTCTATATAATAATAAAATTCGTACGTATTCTTCCAATTTTATTAACAATATTTCCATAAATACATACTCTCTCCCAGGATATTATAATTGAAAATTAGTCATCTCATAATCTATATTTAACTATCGAGTCTCATTTGTGTGTGTGTGTGTGTGTTTTTTTTTTTTTCATCCAAGGTCTCCTCTAAGTACTTCTCCAATATGGCCAAATCATGTACTTGCCAATTCATTTTAATCTTATAATTAAACCTAATTAAATTTCAAATAGTTCAACATTGTACCCAAGTCTATTCATTACCAATTTTCTAACATAATGGATAAGTCACCAAAAAAGTAATTTAATATAATCAAAGCAATATTATTTTAACTTTGTTAAAATTTAAAAATAATAAAAGAGGCTCACTGCTGGAAATTATAGAATTTACGACCAACTGAAAGTGATCTTATATCAAGTCGAAAGCAAAAAGTGGTCGGAAATAGCAATAAAGATTTTTCCGGATAACAAAAATGGTCGAAACAAAGCTTTCGACTTGATTTAAGATCACTTTTAGGTTGTCGAAAATTCCATAATCTCAAGGAGTGGCTGACAAAATTATCATATTTAACCGAATTTAGTGTTCTAATTTATTTTTATCTTTTATTTCATCATAGTCTTTAAAGTATAAGGATCAAATAATTAATCAAATTTTAAATAAAGAGACCATATTAAACATAATGTTACAGTGTATGTACTTTAATTTGTGTATGTAAGGGCTAAGGATGAAATTTGAATATTTTTTTTCATCATAAAACAAACTTCATACAAAGCACATTTTCGAAAGACTGTGAACTCTATGTAAATTAAAAGTTTAAACTTTTGCTTTTACACTAAACAGAACAGATACACTGTTGGATGTACCAAGATGTTCGTAATCTTTATATATATATATATATATATATATATATATATATATATAAGGCTGAGTTCAAATGAGGACAACAATATATAGAGGACTGTGAGGACAAATAATGGGCACACAACAAATTAATACCAGGCACGCAACTTAATACATAATGGCACACAAGAATAAATGTAAACATCAGGTTTCGAACCCAGGCTCTATAAATTAACAAATATAGCACGCGACATACAAACTGTGGCACACGACTACATTCGGCCATGCACACGACATACCGGCTAATGGCACACACTACCTCCGTCCTCACAGTCCTCTATAATATACTTGTCCTCATTTGAATACACATCTATATACATACATATATATATATATATATATATATATATATATATATATATATATATATATATATATATGTATATATATATATATATATATATGCAAGTTTAGGTGTGGACGCGCCTTCCCATGCGGATAGTGCGGTTGCACCAATTGATAAACGATTATACACCATCAACGTCAGGAAATACACCACAAAATACACACACAAATTAGGTATACATCACCAACAACACACCATTAGGTATAATTAAAAGCACCACAGAGTGTTCGAAAATACACCTTTAGGGGTAGGAAGGTATATAGTGCATTTTTTGTTGTATTTTTACACTTCATTGTGGTGTGTTTTCCTTACACTGTTAGTGTCTTTCGTTAAGACTGTTGGTGTATTCTGAAAACGGTCGCACGGGAGGGTGCAGCCGCATTTGAGCACTGTTATATACATATATATTTTGATTGTGCCGCTTTGGTATTCCCCTCCAAGTAATCACAGATAATGGTCTTTAGTTCGAGGCAAGAGAGTTTTCAAAATTCCTAGCAGGATGGGGTAATAAGCATAGACGAGTGGCAGTCACTTATCCTCAGGCAAACGGACAGGTGGAAATCCTCAGGCAAACGGACATGTGGAAAACGCAAATAGATCCATCCTCGATGGTCTCAAGAAGGAACTAGATGTAGCTGGGGGAACCTGGGTGGAAGAACTCGACGGCATCCTCTAGGCCTATCGCACGACACCGAGAAGGGCCACTTGTGATACTCCATTTTTACTCGCTTATGGATTTGAAGCTCGGGCTCCAGTAGAGGTAATCGTACCTAGTAGGAGAATGGAGGAGTACGAGTCAGAGCAGAATGAACTCCAGCAAAAGATAGATCTGAGTGGAAGTCACTTATCCTCAGGCAAACGGACAGGTGGAAATCCTCAGGCAAACGGACAGGTGGAAAACGCAAATAGAGCCATCCTCGATGGTCTCAAGAAGGAACTAGATGTAGCTAGGGGAACCTAGGTGGAAGAACTCGACGGCATCCTCTAGGCCTATCGCACGACACCGAGAAGGGCCACTGGCGAGACTCCATTTTCACTTGCTTATGGATTTGAAGCTTGGGCTCCAGTAGAGGTAATCGTACCTAGTAGGAGAATGGAGGAGTACGAGTCAGAGCCGAATGAACTCCAGCAAAAGGTAGATCTGAATTTCTTAGATGAAAAGAGAGAAGCAGCATTTTGCAAGATGGAAAACTATAGTCGACAGCTAAAATCCTACCATGACGCGAAGGTCCGACCTCTATATTTCCAAGTCAGCGACTTCGTATTGCGAAGGTGGGAAGCTAGACAACCCTTGGAAGGAGGAAAATTCACAAAGAAATGGGAAGGGCCCTACGTCGTGGAGGATATCGTTCACCCAGGAACCTACAAGTTAAAAACAACAGGAGGAATGATGATCGATCAGGTATGAAACTCTGAACATTTGATTAGATATTATCATTAGTATTCTGTAGTTGTGGTCCACCGGACTAGTACTTAGTTATCATGGTCCGCCCATGTTATCTACTAAAGCAAGTTGGTTATCACCGTCTATAAAGGGTGTTAAAAAAAAAATGGGCGAGGCCGAGGACCGCCTCGGCCACAATCGGCCGAGGCACGCGACTCGGCCAGAATAGAAGCCTGTCTCGGCCTAAAAAAAAATGCAAAAAATCAAAGGTGGAAGGAAGAAGTGCTAAGTAACGAATCTATCTCGAATTTATTCCAAAGTGTGTGAAAGTAATTGTTGACAATAGTATTTCAAGCATAAAGTCAAGCATAACGAAATAAAAGGATAATTGACACATTATTCCAAGCAAGCTAGCTAAAGAGAGGGACTATTCCTTGTCTGTAAGATCCTCGATCACAATTTGCTCAAGAGGAACAAGGGGAATGCCGCTGAGGTCGACACCAAGGAACTCGTCCAGAGGGGTACACTCACGAGTAGCATCCTTCACAACAGTAAGGCCTTCAGCATCATTCTTGGCATCATGATCAAGATTCTCTTCTATCACAGGCAAGCCAAGGACCACTAGATCGAAATCTCGAATATTTTCGCGCATCACTGGGAATATTTGTTGTTGCTTTGCATTCATCCCAACCTCAAAAGCAACTTGAGCCTCGGTTTCGACCGCTTCCCGGCCAGCTTCAGTCTTGAAGAATTCACGGACAGCTTCAGGGTTGCTCATATAGCTCATCACATCCTCCTTATAATTGGTGGACCGCTTATAAATCTCTCCCGCCTCGCGAAGGGCAGTGGCATGGGCAGCGCGAGTCTTCTCATGATCCTCCTGCTCCTTCTTCAACGCTTCATGCTCCTTCCTCAAGGCAACTGTAAGTACTTCATGTTCCTTCCTTAGTATCCCGAGCTCGCCTTCCATAATGCTTAGAGTAACTTCCTGGGCCAGCAGCAGGTCCTTAAGGCTTTTATTGTCCGCGCCAAGGCTCTTAACATCCTCGACGAGTGCGTCCGTCACTCGCATGCGTTGGGCTTGAATGACTTGTCTCTCTAGAGTAACCTAGAGTGGGATGAGACTAAGCTCAAAAATATGTCGAAGATACCGCTCTTGTAGTAAATTCACATGGCAGCAAGATAATCAACGTCCGCAGGAGGCGCAATGCAAGCGGCATACTCAGCTGCATTCAGACTACTCTTTATTATGGACGCTCCTGGAGGCACATCCGCTCCTTGCCGGATCAGATTGGTCCGGATGCGTGAACTATGGTCCACGGAGGCTTCTCCCAGCTCGGGGGGCTGGAAGGACGGGGCGACGACCTTAGGCGGGGTAGGAGTGACGGCCTTAGACAGGGTAGGAGTCGTAGTCAGAGGGGGCGGCATCCTCACCTCCTCAACAGTCATAGCATGACTCTTCTTCCCCTTCCCACGAGAATTTTGAGTCGTACTTTTCTCTGTCTTGTCAGCCGTACTATTCTCTGTCTTACTCTTCTTGGATGGAGGCTGTTGTGACCGCGACATCTACCGGTCGATTCTCGAAGTCATGACACCTGCAGCAAAGGGAAACAAGTTAGAGTTAGTAATCGACATG